TACATCCCCATATAAAAAAACCTCCTAACATAAACACATGCACTCTTAATTATAAGAGTGAATGTCCTAACTAAAATAAAATAGCAATTATACAAAATTTAATAAACCGTGCTAAAGTTAACTCATCCACAAAAAAGATTTTCTACACTGAACTAAAAAACATTAAACAAATTCTTATTAATAATGGCTTTCCTAACTAAATTGTTGATGAACAAATAAGGCGATCTATTATAAATTTTAATAGAAATCAAATAGAACATAATGCGTCCTCAAATAACCCTAAACACATCAAACTTCAATATCATAATCAGATGTATTTTAAATATAAACAAGATGAAAAATGTTAAAAACTCATAAATACCAATATACCCCCACAGATCCCAGTAAAAAATACAATTAATTATATACTACACCAAATTTAATGCAACCAACCTTATCATCCATATCTCCTCCATAGCAATTGCCGTTTTGCAGAAACCAACACTATATATCAGTTTAAATTTCCTTTGGGAGATTGCATTTCCGACAAAAAAGCTAATGTGTATGTTGATCATTCTACAATGACGCTATCAAGATGGATCACTCTGCATATGAATGGTTCACCCTCCATTGCACATCTGCACAAACATTCCTGTCCACATTCACGATTTAGAAGTATATAAGTCGAAAATACACGTATACTTCACCAAGAATGTAATATGCAGAAACTACAAATTCACGAAACCATCTTTATTAAAAAATATAATAACAATTCACAAAATTAATTACGAATATCGTACAAATGTTCTGAAATGCTTATAGTATATAGTTCTTCAGAAATATCTACGTTAAAACTAAACGATTTTTAGACAAGCAAATTATAACCTACCACAATGACTCAATTTTTAACTAAGTTACTTCACCTACATTATAATCTTTAGAATAAGGAAAAATGTCAAAAATCTCCGTTTATGCGCATGACCGGGATTATTAACCATTTAACCACAAAGACAAAAATTTACTTCTGACACACACCTAATTGTTCTAGCTATCATAACCCTGAAGATGATATGAATATATCGAAAGTACTCGGAAAAATAAAATGAATAAATACAATCATTGTACCTTCCTTCCACTCTTTAATCATGAAACAACAATGCTTATACGTTATTACCAAAGGATTTTATTAAAAAATAAACAAACAAAATGTCTAAATTGTGATTGACGTTAACTCTTCCAATATTTTTAAACAATTAGAGAAGAGCGATATTTAAATATAAAAGCCAAATTGTTTGACAATTTTCAACAATATTTTGACAGTATATCTGTCTTTTTCAAGTTATCTTTAATAATTGTATACACGTTTAAAATATTAAGATTGTACAAACCTTATAAGTCTTTGGTAATAATAATAATAATAATAATAATAATAATAATAAATGTACCAAATGCAGAAACAATGGTAAAATAAGCCTTTTCATGGTTTATACACTGCCCGTACGAAATAAGTTGATATAGACAAAACCCGTACCCGTAAATGCTTATTTAGTGCTGGGTTAAAACCCTGAAAGCAAAGGTTTTATTCTTTCTGTACATGACCAATTCTTACTGACTAGACATTACCAAGCACATATATTGAAAAATTGTGCTGACAACAAATGCAGATTCTGTGAAAAATATCCAGAAACAATTGACCATCTTGTGTCATGTTGCACAGTATTAACACCAACTAAATATAAAACTCGATGTGATAGAGTGGGCCGATATCTCCGCTGGATAAAATGCAACTTTTACAGGAAGGAAACTGTAGGAAATTGGTATGAACATCAACCAAACCCAGTTACAGTGATAGGACCTGTAACAATTTTATAGAACTTTACAATAGATACAAACAGAACAATCAAAGCTAGTCACCCAGACATAGAATGTGATTTCTTACAGTCTCTGTAGATTCTAATGTATCTTTGAAGATCTTCAAAAAATCTATCAAAATACAAAGATCTTGAAATGGAAATCTTAAAAATGTGGCACAAGAGGACATCAATAATTCCAGTTGGAGCCCTCGGTTTGATTGGAAAAGGTTCTGAAAGACTCATTGAAGGGATTCTTGATAGACCATGCCTTAAAGAAATTCAAAAAATTCTATTCACAGGTACAGCTCACACATTACGAAGAGTTTTATCTATGTAAAATGTGTGTGATCTTATTTCTTTTGTTTTACAAAAAAGATCAAGGAAATATGTCATGAAGCCATTTCTGACCTTAGGTTTCCGGTTGGGAACGAGAAAGAAATGAGTCAACATCAAAAATCAAAGGAATAATAATAATAATAATAATAATAATAATAATAATAATAATAATAAGTAGTAGTAGTTTCAAATGGGCGCAAAGATGCAAGCACAACACAATACACCGGCTGAAACTGCAAAATACTTAAAAAAAGACAGCAAAGACGAATGCAACCGACCAGATACAGAAGCGATGGCAAGATAAAGCGCTTCATGGCCAATACTCTGCCCGTACCAAAAAAGCTGACGTAGACAAAACCCGTACCCATCAGTGGCTACGTAGTGCAGGGTTAAAAGCTGAAACTGAATGTTTTATCCTTGCTGCACAGGACCAATGCTTGTTAACTAGGAATTATCAAGCACATATACTGAAATATTGTGTCAGCCCAAAATGCAGATTCTGTGATAAATATCCAGAAACAATTGATCATCTTGTATCAGGTTGCACGATATTGGCATCCACTGAATATAAAACCCGGCATGGCAGAGTGGGCCAATATCTGCACTGGAAAATCTGCAACTTCTACGGGAAGGAAACTGAAAGAAACTGGTATGAACACCACCCAGACCCAATTATGGAGATAGGACCTGTTACAATTTTATGGGACTAAACAATACACACTGACAGAACAATCAAAGCCAACCATCCAGACATTGTTATTAAAGACCACAAACAAAAACGGTGCCTCCTTATTGATATGGCAGTCCCTGCTGACTGCAATGTATCTTTGAAGATATTCAAAAAGCTGTCAAAATACAAGGACCTTGAAATAGAAATCTCGAAAATGTGGCATATGGGAACATCAACAATCCCTGTTGTAGCTGGAGCCCTAGGATTGGTTGGAAAAAGATTGCAGTAGACTAATTGAAGGGATTCCTGGAAGTCCATGCCTCAAGGAGACACAAAAAATTGTTCTGACAAGTACAGCCCACACTTTACGAAGGGCTTTATCTATGTAATATTTTTTTTTTGTCAGTGGAGAGTGTCATGATGCCATTTCTAACCTTAGGTCCATGGGGGGGCGGAAAGAAATGTGTAAACGCCAGAAATCAAAGAAAATAAAAAATTAATAATAATAATAATTCCATCAATAATTCTAGTTGGAGTTGGAGCCCTCAGACTGATTGAATATACTCATTGACGTGTTTTCTGGAAGTCCATGCCTTAAGAAAATACAAAATTTGTACTCATAAGTACAGATTACACAGCACAAAGAGTTTTATCTATGTAAAATGCATGTGATCATAGTTTTTCAGCAAAAATACTCAGTGGAAAATGTCATGAAGCCAATTCTGACCTTAGGTCTCTGGTTGGGACTCGGAAAGAAATGTGTATACAACAGAAATCAAAGGAAATAATAATAATAATAATAATAATAATAATAATAGGTCTACCAATAAATCCACAAAATCCTCACCTTAATTGATAAGAACCATTTATTTCACACAAATACTTTCCAATAAACTACTTCCATGTCAATGCACTTAATTCGGTAGTCAATATTAGCATTGATCAAACATAATATACAATAAAATATCGGATCGAAATTCAGCTAATAACTTTTTGCCAGTCGATAAAATTATTGATCCGCCATTTTATATGTGCAGGTTTTGAATCAGTGTGCTTCATTTGTATATTTTATGTCACTTGAAAAGGAAATGCCTGAGTGATGCAGTCTTTTGAACAAAAAAGGATCTTCTTGCAAGCTTACATTCTCAGCTATTTTGTTACTAATGAGATAGAAGATAAACTTGCGTTGATGATAATGAAAGGTAGTTGTGCTCCAGTTTTGATATCGCCTGAGAAAGGCGATAAAATGTAATTTTAACTTTAGCTTTTAAATCTTTTCTGTATCCCCGTTCCTTCTTTATGTCTTAGGCTTATATTTGTTAAATAATGGAAGCAAAAGTATATAAATAAAATGAAAAAAAAAAATGTGTCAAATTCGATGATTGGCTGGCGTTAATTCTGTCTGATCGGATACATCTGTTTTTGGCTGATCGACTTTCTTCAACGTTCGATTGGAGAAAAGTCGGTCAGGACGCTGTGAGTTGCTAAAGAAATTATGGCGTATCGAACTTTCAGTCGGACTTTTCAAGCTGTGCGTTAATAGTTCATGCGATGTGATTGTGCATTTACTGTTTAAGAAATGACGTATTCACTTATTTGTTGTCATAACGTGCATAGGTCTTTGCCTGTTTGCATTTGCGATCGTTGTATGTGTATCCGTGTGCTACTTGTAAGTTGATATGCATTAAGTTGAATGCATTCATAATTGGATTCGAGAATTAGTCTAAGAACATAGTTGAGGAATTGTTTATATCTTTATGCATACATACTTATTCGACAGTACATACAAGTGTAGTCAAGAGAGAGAGAGAGAGAGAGAGAGAGAGAGAGAGAGAGAGTGAGGGGGAGAGTGATGAGAATGAAAGAAAGGCGATGAAAGAAGGAGAAATAGAGATGGCGATAGGAGTGAGAAGGAATGCGTGATCATAGAGAGGGAAAGGATGATAATAGAGAAAGAAACGTTGATGAGGGAGGGGGAAAAGGGAGACAAGAGAGAAAAAGGGAAAAGGTGACAAGAGAAAAAAGTAAAGGGTGATGAAAGAGAGAGAAAGAGAGAGAGAGAGAGAGAGAGAGAGAGAGAGAATGGGAGGAAGGGTTATGAGAGCGAGAAGAAAAGTTATATTAGAGAGAGAGAGGAAGAATGATAAGAGATAAAGAGAGGGTTATGAGTGATAGAGGGGAAAGGGTGATGAGAGAGAGAGAGAGAGAACGAAATGGTGATAAGATTGAGAAGGAAAAGATGATAAGAGAGAGAAAGAAAGATAAGATAGAGGTGGGGAAAGAGTGATGAGAGAGGAGGAAGAATGATTAGTGAGAAGGAAATGATGATGAGAGAGACGGAAAGGGCGATGAGTGAGTGAGAAGGAAAGGGTGATCAGCGATAGAGCGAAAGGGTGATGAGAGAGAGAAGGAAAGGGTGATAAGAGTGAGAAGAAAAGGAAGATAGAGAGAAAGAAAGATAAGATAGAGGTGAGGAAAGAGTGATGAAAGAGGAGGAAGACTGATAAGTGAGAAGGAAATGATGATGAGAGAGAAGGAAAGGGCGATGAGAGGGAGAGAGAGAAGGAAAGGGCGATGAGAGAGAGGGAGGGAGAGAGAGAAGGAAAGGGCGATGAGAGAGAGGGAGAGAGAGAAGGAAAGGGCGATGAGAGGGAGGGAGAGAGAGAAGGAAAGGGCGATGAGAGAGAGGGAGAGAGAGAAGGAAAGGGTGATATAAGAGATGAGCACAGAGGTGCACAAGCGTACCATTCTTGGTCAGTACGAGTGACTCAATTTCGTAGACGCCTTTTGTTTTTTTGTATATCCATGCGTGCTTCGGAGTAAAAGCGTTTAATGCTAATTGAACGTGATTCTTTTCTTTCGTGTACTTATCAGCGTGTGTGCGAACGCGAATTCCATTTATGCTTGTACAGAAACCAGTTTTTTTTTACTACAAACATCTATTTACTTATATATATATATATATATTATATATATATATATATATATATATATATATATATGGGTCTGTCTATATTTCTGAGATGAAGTATTATGTACATTATTTACATTATACGGACTATTGTCATCTTTGTCACCATATTTATTACAATGTAATAAAAAGGCTTAAACACTAAAGTTTTTTTTATTATATCCTTACTTTGTCCTGGACATTGAGTTCTACCTGGATTCTATCCTCTTGGAATTATTTTTTATACAAACATATATGTATGTGTATGTATTTATATATATATTTATATATTTTAGATATATGATTGTATATGTATGTGTATATTTACCACTAATATTATCTCTCTCTCTCTCTCTCTCTCTCTCTCTATCTATCTATCTATCTATATATATATATATATATATATATATATATATATATATATATATATATCTAAAAATAAATACTGTTTACACTTTTTCCTGCCGTGCGCCAACGGCTTAGTAAACCCCATTCAGCCGGGTTTCTTTCTAGAGGCAAGTCTCTGTCTGTGGATGAATGTATGTTTATCTAAAAATAAATACTGTTAAAGTTAATGATTTCATCCACAAAAACCTTTCCTGCAAGCTTTTTCCTACAGAAATCTTCTGTATGGAATAACGGAGGACAACGAAAATATATGTATTTCCGAAAAGTGTTATTGTTTTTGGAGAATCCCCTGAGTTTGACTGTGCGTTGTTCATGTCAAAAAAACCCAAAAAACGAACAACATCTATTCTCTGAAGATGCCGGGTTACGGCAGGTCCTCTTTTAGAGGCAACTGTGGCTCTGTCTGTTTGGATGAATGTATGTGAATAATGTGAATTTAAATTGATTGCACGTTTATATATATATATATATATATTATATATATATATAATATATATATATATATATATATGTATGACAAAAAAAAATCACAAAGGTCCTTTAGGACGTCATTGATTAAAATTGCGCATGAGCAAGAAAATCCATACGGATTTAGAATTTTAATCAATTTTTTTATATCTATCCGAATTCATTTAGAATCATTTCTTTTTCAAATAATATACAGTGTGTTAAAACAAGATCTGTTGAAATAAGAGCCGTTATGTAGATGATCTTATGAAAAGACATTTACATCGTAGTGAGGTTTTCTCTTTTGATTCTATAAATTTCTGTGAGCAACCAACGTATTTGATGTATTATTTTGTAAAATGTCCCTTTTGTGTTCATATAATCTTTTATTTAGATTCTTTGAGGTTTCCCCAATATAGTTTTGTGGCAATTATTACAGGCGGTCGAGTAAGCTCCTTCAGGTTGTAGCATATAATTTTGTTTAGTACCGGCTGTCTTTTATTGTTTTGGAATAACGATGTTGTTTTTTTTTCGATTTGGATGTGATTTTCTCTTAGGATAATATATATTTTTTAATTGGGCTCTTCAGGAGGGACCGTTTTTGTTTTGGACAATTGAATATAAAAAATAAATATGATATCTATCTATCTATCTCTTTCTCTCTCTCTCTCTATACAGTTTGAAAGAGTTGGTATTTCTTTTTCTTTATTAAAAATGAAGGAGAAAAAAAAAAAAGAAGTAAAAAAATGCTTATTTAAAATGAGTTATTGAATTGTTATTTTTTGGCTAACAAGTACTTGCCGGTCGTAAAATGGGCGAATTCAATAAGTTTGACTGAAATGTAATTTTTTTAATTTAATATTTTTTTTCTCTTGATTCTCTGCAACGCTTTGTTTGACTGTTTATTTTACGTTTATATATATATATATATATATATATATATATATATATATATATTTATATTTATAAACGTTTTTTACAGTTGTTGCGTTCATGTACAAATAAGTCTTTTTCTTTTTGGAGGTTACTGATTACGAATTATAAGAACGCAATTGAAAGGGTTGGTATTCGGACTTATACTAAGTTAAAACTAAATCATCTTGTTTTTATTTTTATTAACTCCCCGGCGAACAGCTCTGTATATATGTTTGTGTTGGGTCATCTGTGGACCATAGCTCGACTCTCTAAATAAGTTATTTGAAAGCTGATTCTTTGAAATAATTTTTCTGGAAGTCAAACCCGGGATTGTTTTCTGTTTTTTTTTTTTAATAAGAATAGATAGGTTCTTCTATCACCCGGTTCACACTTCTCTCCCTTCTCTTGATCATCTCTTGTTTACTATTTAGGAAGGGATTCCCGGTTCCTTTCCTTTTTTCTGTCCTTAATTGCGGTGCTGTCATGAATTGTTTGTGATATGCGTGGATGAAGATTACGTCTCTTCATAGTGAGGTTACCGGGTTAGCAGTTATCTGGTTGCTCTTCCCCATTAGTAGTTAGGGACCCGAACTCTTGCGCAGATTTGAGAGGCTGCTCTGATCAACAGTTGCATAATATTGAGTTCTTGCAGTGCAATATCGCGTACCGTGTATCCCTGCAAGCACCTCAGGTTGGCAAGCCCGAGGCCACACTATGTTATAGTGTGCGCCAGTTCCCTTCCTGCACATGTTACATTAAACGACCGACTTCTACGACTACCCTAGGCGTTTTTATACCAAAATAACACATCATGACTATAAACAACCAAAGATATAAACCTAAACCAGTTCAACAAAAAACACCTAAACCCCTTAACCTTTCTTTCTCCAACATTCGTGGCATTCGTACCAACTTTTGCAGTGTGGAATCATTCGTCTCCGAAAGTTTCTGGACATCCTAGTTCTCTGCAAAACTACACTTAACCCTTCAATCCCCTCCTCTGATTTCTCGATTCCTGGCTACCTTCCTTTCCTTAGAAAGAACTCTAATGTTTACATGCATGGCCTGGGAATTTATGTCTACGAACATCTCCCGCTGGCTAGGGAACACTCTCTTGAATATCCAGACTATTCTTACATGTGTCTCCGTCCTTCTCTACCTAACTCAGTCAACTATTTTTTCTTTCTCTACCGTTACACTGCCTCTCAAGACTGTTGCGTGCTAGATAGGATTTTCGATAATATAGCAAAGGCCGTCACCCACCACTTGTTGGCAAATATATTCGTGTTCGGTGAATTTAATGTCCACTATACCAGGCAGCTTAAATACTCTGTCACTGGCCTCGCTGTCATCTAAATCTTAACTTCTCAATCACCCAGTCTCTCACGCAAGTGGTTGACTTCCTTACGCGTTTCCCCAGTAAACCTTATGCACACGCTTAATTTACAGATCGCTTTCTTTTTATCTTTATCCCCGACTCTTGTCGTACTACGCAGCTCTGCCCTCTTGGCAGCTCTGATCATGAGATAGTGTCTGCCAACATTTCCGTCAGCTGCCCCACCAGCCAAAAACCTCCTACCAACATATCTTTGTGTTATCAATGAGCGGATTTCCTTCGTGACGTCCATTGGAATGAAGTTTTTAATTATCCTGTTCAAAAATGCGCACCTGAGCTCTCCTCCTGGGCGACAGCCAACATTGATGCTTTCATTCCAGCAAGGAAATACCAAGTAAAACCACGTTCATCTCATTGTCCACAGGAATCATTTCTTCAGGCTGTACCAGAGTAAACACGTCTGATTACAACAGACGTCTCTCTGTCTCTGCCCGTAACGAGCGCAAGCGTATCCTTAATGAAGCGAAGTTATTTTTTGCTGATAGAATGAACCAACGTATAGCGTCTCACTAGTTCGGTTCTAAAGACTATTGGTGGTTCTGCAAGTGTGTGCTGAACAACAGCAAATCCCCAATCCCTCCTCTATTTAATAAATTCGAAGTCCTGACATTTACAACTGATAAAATTGATTATTTTGCTCGGAAATTCTCTTCCAAATCAACATTTGATTCATTTAGAGTACCTACACCTGATTGCTCTATAGAACTGAGGCAGAAAATAGCTGGTAATTTTGAATGCCTCCAAAACTAAACTACTCCCATTTAACCACCATAGAGAAACTTCCCTTCCCACCATCAACATGGCTGATACTGGTAGCAGATGTATCAAACCAGATCAGACAACGATATTCAGTGAATGGATGAATGGTAGACTAAATAATATGTAAGATAGATTCTGACGGGAGAAATTGTCTAGCATTCTTATTAAATACATTATTTAATAATATTAAATCAAAGAATTAAATAAATTTTAAATTCTTGTTGCATACACCTATTTCTCTTTCTTTAAAGCTCTCTTTCTATATTTCCTTTTTGATTATGCTTCTTTCTTTCTTTGTATAACGATAGAAAGGAAAAAAAAGAAAAGAAAAGAAAGAAACGATATAAATAATGACTTTTATCTGTCTATAAAATCTAAAAATGATTGATTAAGCCACTCACTGAATTTGAGAAGCGGAATATCTTCACCTCCACAATTACCATTTCCAGCTCGTCTACGAGTTCGTTTTCCATCTTGGTACTCAATCGACTTAACTCGTTCAAGCTTTAATTTTAACGGCCACCCACACAAGGTTTAATACGCATACAACAACATTAGAGGGCAAGGTCAACTCCGAGGTTCATCTCTCTCTCACAATGGCTTGCTAAATGAACAAATAAAACATTGCACTGTTACAAGTGCTCTGATATATGCATAATTATATAAGGATATTTATTTAACTAAGCTTAAGATGGAGTAATGGATAGCGGCTCAGATTGAGGAAGCGGGGAGCCGAGTTCGATTTCCAGTAAAATCCATTACATTCATTTACGTGCTACTACCCTTGTGAAAGGTATCAATCCTCCCCCCACTCCAGCTATGGGTAAATAGCAGAACAGACCGGGTTCTATAGCCTTGGATGGCAACTGGTCTACTGCAGAAAGAAATGGCAACCTACTGCAGGAAAAATCTGTCTCGTCAGTCATGTATCGAAAGATACATGATCGTCTAAGCGTGTATCACGCATGGCATATAACTGACTGACTGGCTTCCCAGTCGAATCCATTACATTCACTTACGTGC